CAATTTATAAAAAAGACACATACATCTTTACCAAGCATATTTGATGTGTAAGAATTGTATAGCCTATGTGGTGATTTACCATTAATTTCTGTATTTATCTATAAAAAAAACAAACAAACAAAAAAAACAGGGGAGCGTCCTCCAATACCTTACAAGCTCGTTCCGTCACAAATGCAGCGTAAAAAAGTTAATAAGAGAGAGAGGTTAAAGGTCATATGTATTATATGTAGGTACTATAGGTAAGATAAAATTCATTAGAATTCGACGAGTTTAAATACTAAAGATTCGAATTTATTGATATGTGAGAGATAGTTGTATGTAGGTACTGTAGGTGAGATGAAATTCATTATAATTTGACGAGTTTAAATACTAAAGATTCGAATTTATTGATATGTGAGAGATAGTTATATATAGGTACTGTAGGTGAGATAAAATTCATTATAATTCGACGAGTTTAAATACTAAAGATTCGAAGTTATTGATATGTGAGAGATAGTTATATGTAGGTACTGTAGGTGAGATAAAATTCATTATAATTCGACGAGTTTAAATACTAAAGATTCGAATTTATTGATATGTGAGAGATAGTTATATATAGGTACTGTAGGTGAGATAAAATTCATTATAATTCGACGAGTTTAAATACCTTGGCTCAACAGCAACGGTGGGTGGAAGGCTTGACAAGGAGGATTCAGACAGGCTAGGGAGCGTAGAGGGAAAATTAACAAATTTACAACAAAGAACGTATTATTGAACGTGAAGGGACAGATGTACAACTTAGTAGTGAGGCCGGCGATGTTACGTGGAATGCAGACTGAGGGTGACAAAGAAAATAGGAGAGAAAAATGGAGGTAGCAGAGATGAGGATGCTCAGCTCCTCACCAGAAGACAAGGACGGAGAAAATAAAGGACAAAGTGATGCGAAAGGAAATTGAAGCAGTGAGCTGAGAGAAACGAGGATAAATTGGTTAGGACACGCAATCAGGACAGACGAGGCAAGAAAAAAGAGTAAGGAGGATGAAGAACGAAGAGAAAAGAGGAGGCACAAGAGATGATGGGAAGACCTAAAGACAACTGAAAGGAAGAAGACGCGATAAATAGAAAGTGCTACGTACCAGCGACCCCGCAGAGACGCCCGTAAGGGGAGTAAACCTGTACTTATGTCTCTAACATACTGATTGAAAATCCGGAAAGATATTGTTAATTGTGTATATTAGCAAAAAATTTAAATTTCCTTAAGGGAGTGTAAACTCAAGCTCATCGAAAGAATATATTTCACAATACTGAACACTTACATTTCTTATCGTAAGTTTTAATTATACAAAAGAGTAACAGTTAATATTTTGATGCATTAGAAAAGCAAATCTGCTGTGTTATCTGTTTTATTTAATTCGTATGAACATCATTCCTGTCAAAAAAATACTACTACTTATTAAAAGCGTTTTTTTCACATTTTGTATAATGATTACGATTTAGAATTATTTATCTTAAAAAAAAAATGGAGAGGAATATATAATTCGCCAATAATGTATTTCACGTGTACTTTCAATTTATTAAATTTTGTGAAACTAATAATTTACCATTTAATATTATCCATTAAAGAATCCAGACATTCAGATGATATTCTGTGTAGATAATTAAGGATGTCCACAAATAAACACAAATCAAAATGAATATTTATTACAATATCTACATTCAATTCTGTATGAAACAATTCTTATAACAATATACATAAACCCACAAAGTTATTTTTTTTCTTTACTTCACATCCAGAAAGGTTAAGTTTAATTATATATGAAACAAACAGATTGTCCGTTTATTACATCGTCTTTATTTTCAGTAATGCTATTTACATATTCGTTTATATTGATAATACTAGCAGCATAGAAAAAAACTTAACCTGTAATTAATTAATATAGAAATCATTACCCGATTTTAATTTATTTGTCATTATACCTCTCGTACACCTTAAATCTGATCCTTAATTATAAAATGATATTAACGATAGCTATTTTGTCAATGCTTTGCCCTGTGCCACTTTATATCTTTAGATCCTTAATTATAAAAAAAAAATAATCACAACACTGTCTTTCCTTTGCTTTCCCCCCCCAAAAAAAAATGCTATAATATTTGTAGTTATATCAATTCCTTTATTTTCAAAAGTTTCTCTTTTTCTTCTTTAATATATACCGCTAGCATTTCCTAAAAAGAAAGATCTTGATATAAAATCCTCATCGCAAGAGAGTATTTTTATTTATTTATTATTTTTTTCCTATATTATTATCTTTTACTATGTATTCCAAACTTGAGAATAATAAAGTGTGCAGTAAATTGGAATAAGTAAATTCGCAACAATACTTTTTTATAGGTATGTACGTAATTATTTATTACTAATGCAAATAAAATAATATGTTCTATAACACACCATTACCTCGAAGCGTTGTGAAAGCAAAAATGATAATATATTAACACCATTAGGCTGATCTTAAAACACGATAATTTGATAATGTAACCCATAAATAGTAACAAGGTTAGAATCTGCGGCCTTTTTATAACTATATGAAGACCTAGTTATTATTCTTCATTATTTTAGTCCCCAGCGATGAACTAATATGTTATACATACATACACACACACATATATATATATATATATATATATATATATAGAGAGAGAGAGAGAGAGAGAGAGAGAGAGAGAATTTTTCTATCACTTATAGATATGTATATATCTATGTGTATATATATGTAAATATGTAAATGAATATATGAATATATATGCATATATATATATATATATATATATGTATATATATATATATAAGATATATATACATATATGTATGTGTGTGTGTATATGTGTGTGTATGTATTTACAGTATATATATATATATATATATATATATATATATATATATATATATATATATATATTATATATATGTATGTATGTGTGTGTGTGCGCGTATGTATTTACAGTATATATATATATATATATATATATATATATATATATATATATATACGTACACTGAAATGATATATATACACACATTTAGCCCAATACCGCCGGGCAAAATGAATAAAAATGGGGAAAATGCTCATTTTTTATATTTTTTTGTGAAATGTCTCTACTAGTGCTTAGCCACAAAGGAGTCAATTAATAGACCTTTGAATTGGCGGGAAAAACGTATTTTTTACTTGTCCTATGAATATCTATGAAAACATTATAATTACTATAATGTTATAAACATTAGTAACCGCAAAATAAGATAACATAAAATTTTCGCAAATCATGGAAAAGGGTAAACAGGCGAGACAGGCAGTACTTGTAACTGGCTTAGTGCAACTTAGTACAAGTGTAGCCATCTATGTGTAAAAGCAATTAAACAAATAACTCACAGTGGGCATGGCATACACGTACACGTCATGCCCGTCGGCACTGGGATATGTATGTATGTATGTCTGTATATATATATATATATATATATATATATATATATATATATATATATATATATACATATGTGTGTGTGTGTGTGTATGTGTGTGTGTGTGTTTATAGTATATACACACACACACGTACGTGTGTGTATAATATATATAATTATAATTATAGTAACCTTAATATAAAGGAAAGGGATAATGAAACTTGTAAAACATAATAAATTCGATTATATATTCTTTAGTACATGGTATGAAATTACACATTCTATGGTGGTAACAACATTCATGATAACTGATAACCCTTTTCACACTGGCTAGTACAGAACTAACTTTCAGATAAAAAAATTATCGATATCTATCTATTTATCTATGAGTGTGCTTGTGCTTGTGTGTGTGATATATATATATATATATATATATATATATATATATATATATATATATATATATACATGTATATATATATACATATATATATATATATATATATATATATATATGTATATATATATATATATATATATATATATATACATATACATATACATATACATATACATATACATATACATATACATATACATATACATATACATATACATATACATATATACATGTATATATTTATATACATATATATACATATATATATACACATATTTATGTATGTATATATATATATATATATATATATATATATATATATATATATATATATATATATATATATATTACATACCTATACATACAAACACTCGCAAAAACAAACCTTGCTTCCATATTTAGTTAAAAGATCTAAACTACGAAATTACTCGTGGAGGATAATTCAAACAGGAATTATAAAAAAAAAAATAATAATCATCATCATAATAAAAAGTAAAACCAATACTCCTGACAAATATATTAAAGGAACCAACCCATAAAAACCCCAATACCTTTAATCTCCAGCCAAACACTATACTTACAATAACACTGTACTTTTTACATAATAGTAGTAATGCTCATAATGGCAATGGGAATAGGAATGGTACTGGTAATGGTACTAAAAGTAATAATAATGATAATGATGAGAATAATAAAAGTAATAATATCAAAATAATAATAATAATAATTATTATTATGATCATTATAACAATAACTGATATCAAAATAATAACAATTATAATAATAATGTATACAATAATAATAATAATGTATATAATAATAATAATAATGTATATAATAATAACAATAATGTATATAATAATAACAATAATTATAATTATTTTAACAATAACAATGCTATCAAAATAATAATAATAATAATAATAATAATAATAATAATAATAATTATAATAATAATGATCATAATTGCAATAACAACAATATCAAAATAATAATAATAATGATAATAATAATAATAACAACAATAACAATAATATCAAAATAATAATAATAATAGTAATAATAACAATAATAATAATAATAATAATATACCCTTCAAAATCATTCTAAAACAGGCATATATACCCTCCAAACACCTTTTTTCTTCTTCCTCCTTCTATTCCTCTCCTCTTCCATGTCTCCTTCTATCCACACCTCCTCCTTCCACCGCAAGCTTTCTTCTCTTTCCTCTTTCTTCTTCCCTTCTTCTCTCTCTTCCTCTCTTTCTCTCTCCTTCCTTTCTAATTCCTCCCTTCCACATCTGCAAAAGGCCTCCCTTACCACACCACGACAATTATTATGGCCACGAAGAGTAAGGTGATCACCAACCAGTAGGCTGAAACGAGAGAATGAATGAATGAATGAATGAATGAATGAATGAATGAATGAATGAATGAATGAATGGGTGAATGAATGGATGGATGGATGGATGGATGAATGAATGAATGGGTGAATGAATGAATGAATGAATGGATGGATGGATGAATGAATGGGTGAATGAATGAATGGGTGAATGAATGAATGGGTGAATGAATGAATGGATGGATGAATGAATGTAAGGGTGAATGAATGAATGGATGGATGAATGAATTGATTAAATAATTAAATAATTA